AGTCAGGCTGCTCACTTTGCTCCCCAGGGACCCTCCCGATCCTGAGGACCGTCCGCTATCCCCCCTTCCTTCATCCGGCTCGCTCGGTGCCAGTGTACCCGCTGTGTAAATTGCTACATTCTCTTCTTGGTCATGAACATGTATCACTTTAATAACATTTTCTTTTATTATTTTGCGAGGTATACAGATAACTGTGCTCATTATAAAAAAATAAAAACTCCAATACACAGAAATGCGTGAAGGAGAGGCAGAGGTCCCCACCCTGTCCCGCACCCAGAGGTAACCACTAGTAACCGACTGCAACAGCACTCAGGACAAACAACCCGCAATACCCGAGAAGCGCCCGCCCCCCCCCTCCCCCCGCGCCCGGCCTCCCACTCACCCGCTCGGCAAACGCTCCCCCAGTAAGTGCGCCAGGGCTCTGTCTTACTGGGGGCTGGCTCTGCAATCGCACAGCCTGGGTTCAGACCCCAGCTCTGCTGCTTCTCTAACCTCTCCAGGGCTCCGGTCTCCGCACCTGCAGAGCATGGAGACTCACAGCACCGGGCATGTGGGACGGGCGTGGGAAGGGCCACGTGCTCTGGCTCGCGCATGCGCACACGCAGCTCTCAGGGTGGCGCCTGGGCAAATCCACCGCTCCAGTGCCCAACCCTGTCCTCAGCTAGGGAGCACACCAGTAGGGCGTCACCGAGCACCTACTCTGTGCTGAGCAGCTGGGGCGGACCCCCAACGCCTGCTGGGGGCTCACGGCGGCCCAGGGTGCAGCCACACACATGTGTGGGCTCAGGCTCACCCCGAGCAAGGGCCAAACTAGCACCTTGGAGAACAAGACAGGGAGGCTCAGAGGGGTTACGAGCCCAGTACCGGAGCACACAGCTAAGAAGGCCCAGCCAGGATGCAAACCCGGAGCAGTGGGGCCCATGACCTCATCACGCAGCCGTAACACAGCCCTAGCTGCCCAGGGCTCCGTGGAGCTGGGCCAAGGGCTGTGAGGGAGCAGCATAAGCGAAAGGGCAGCGGGGGCTGCTGGCGCCGGAGGCCAGGCATGCAGGGCCAGAGACAGGGGCTGCTGTTATTCCCACGAGCTGGCCTCGTCCCCACTGCTAGGCCATGGTGTCCTGGCCGGCCGGCCCACGCCTCAGCCTTCCGGCCAGGGCTGGGCACACTCACTCCCAGTGTTTGCCACCATAGCTCCTCTCATTAGAGACTGCATGAGAGCTGCACCTGCCAGAGGCCAGGGGAGCGGGGGGGGGGGGGGGGGGCAAAAGGGGGGCCCGGGGTTCCGGGAAAACAGAACGCACAGACCTGGGGGCCAGGCCAGCTGCCCTCCTCAATCTGGATCATTTATTTTATCTGTAGAATGGGTAGGCTGAGCCCCCTGGGGGTGGCTGTGAGGGCGCAGTGGGCCAGCCCTGGAGAGGGCTTGGGGAGCCCCACTTGTGTCGGCATGCACGTGGGCTGCCACTTGTTGGACACCCACTGCGTGGACATGGCCTCCTTCCCAGGCAGGAGTCAATACTAAAGATCCCACTCAACCGATGGAACCCACAGGGGCCAGACACCCGCGTGGGGCAGGCACTGGGGAAGTGGCCGAGCCAGGATCTGGACCCAGGGCCCTCCGAGCCCCACGCTCTCCCACTGTGGGACAGCCTCCTGCTGGGGAGGCCTTCTGTGTCTTGCCAGGGGCTGCAGTCCTGGAGCCTCCCTCTGTCCTCTGGGCTCAGCTCAGAGCCCCCGGGGAGGCTTCAGGGCCTGATGATGCCATTAGAGACCCCCAGGGGTCCCTGTGCACCTGAGGGCCTGGGAGCCACAGACCCCTTGCTCAGAGAAGGGGCTGGTATTAAAGCCCCAGCTGAGCCCTGGCTGGGGCAGGGGCCCCAGGAGACCGCAAGGCGCCAGCTCAGGAGATGGCGAAACAATGGAGTTTGTCCAGGCTGCTTTCTCCCAAAAGCCAGCAGCATGGAGGGGAGGTGCATTCCTCTCTGCCCCACCCACCCACCCTTCACAGCCCTGAAAATCACCTGGCCTAACACCAGATGGGAGGGGAGCTGAGGCCAGAGTCCCGGGTACTCGCTCAGCACAGTCCCCCTGCCCATGTCCCTGGCTACCCCTAGGCAGACTCCAGCAGCCAGGCCCAGGAGTCCCCTGGTTGAGGCTGGGCCAGCTGCACCTGCCCTGAGACACATCTGGCTGGGCTGGGGTGCCCAGCTCCACACCGGGTCCTGACTATGCCGATCTGTCAGTCGGAGTCCCATCTGGACATGACAGGGCCTGGATGAGGTATCCACATCTCCTCGCACGTATCAGCACTCATGGCTGTCGGTCTACGACGGTGCAAACTAGACCCCTAGTGCCATTCTTGAACTGCTCACCTCTCCACTCAGACCAGCACAGGCAAAAGCCCAGTTGGCCTGCCTGCTCTCGACCTCGACCCAGACCCCAGGCCCAGACTGCGGCCCCGCAGTAGGGAAGAGGGCGTCCTCGGAGCCCCCTCCTCCAATTCCAGCTCATCACCTTGCACCCGAGGACGCGCAATGGCGGCGGAAGCTGCACGGCACAGGCTACCCGTCCAGACCGAGGCTGGCTTCCTAGGGCCTCGGTGCAGGGAAGCGACCCAGCCCCACGCCGCCCCGAGCTGCTGCGGGGCGGGGAGCGCGGGCCTCGGCGCCTCGGTGCCGGTGGAAGGGCGGGGCGCGCGGCGGCTGGGGATGCTCACCTGAAATTAGGAGGCGACGCGATGTGCAGCCCCAGAAACGGGGAGGCGGCCGGCGGGGACGCGGCACCCCCGCCCAGGCCGCCGCTTTCTCGCTCCGCCATTCTCGGGCACAGCCCTGGCCATCCGGGCGGAGCGCGGCGCGGGGGAGACGGCGGCGGCGGCGGCGGAGCAGCGGGCGGGGGCGCGGGAGAGGCCGCCGCCGCCGCGGGGCTCGGGCGGGGAGGGCGCGGCGGGCGCACCTGCGCAGGGCAGGGCGCGGTTCCCGACGGCGCGCGGCTGGCGGCACTGGCGAGAGCGCCCCCGCGCGCACCCCCGGGCCGGGCCGGGGTCTCGTGCGCCCCGCCCCCGCGCCGCCGGCCCCGCCCCAGAGGCGGCGCTCTCCATGGTGCTGAAGGCACGGCCCCCGCGGCTCGGGCTTGGCCCCGCCCCGTCCTAATCCGAACCTGCCCGCCCCCAACCTCGCAGGGCGCCCCCATCCCCATTGCTGGCGATGCCCTCCGGCATCAGGTAACCAATGGCCCCTTGGCCCCCAAGACCCTCTTGGGCCACCCCGGGCAGAGACAGAGGAGGCAGGCGGGAAAGGAGGGTCCCTGGGCTGTGAGTGGAGTCCCGGAGAGGCAACTTTTAGGCGCTGTCAGCTCACTGCCTGGCTCCACAAATGAGAGGGTGGGGGACCTTGGTCAGTGACGTCAGGGCCCCAAAATGTGCTTCTCTCACCTGTGAAATGGTGACAATACTATGCCCCCATGGCAGTTGTCAGGATGACAGGAGACGCCAATGCTGCAGGAGCTGACCCAAGCCTCCCTTCAGCCAATGGAGAGTCCACCAGCGAGGACAGAGCAGGCGCCTCCCCGCTGTGGTCAGACCTTTCACAGCACCTCTGCTGCACCACTGGCAGCCAGGCACCCAGACTTGGGCCTTCCCCCGCCCCACCACTGACTCCCACCCCTGCTGGGTTTGGGCCATGGCTTCCTCCTGTCTTCTCACCCCTTTGAGGTAAGCCTGGGCCTTCAGCGTCCCTGAGTTTTTTATTTTTATTTATTTATTTATTTTTGACAGGCAGAGTGGACAGTGAGACAGAGAGAAAGGTCTTCCTTTTGCCGTTGGTTCACCCTCCAATGGCTGCCGCGGCCGGCATGCTGCAGCCGGCGCACCGCGCTGATCCGAAGGCAGGAGCCAGGTGCCTCTCCTGGTCTCCCATGGGGTACAGGGCCCAAGGACTTGGGCCATCCTCCACTGCACTCCCTGGCCACAGCAGAGAGCTGGACAAGAAGAGGAGCAACTGGGACAGAATCCGGCACCCCGACCAGGACTAGAACCCGGTGTGCCGGCGCTGCAGGTGGAGGATTAGCCTAGTGAGCCGCAGCGCTGGCCCCCACCTGAGTTTATTCAGAGCATGGACTGCCAAGCCCAGGGTCCCCTTCTGGGTGGTCTGTAGCCTCTGGCCAGTCCGCAGTGGCTGCTTCTGTGGCCGCCTGAGAACCCCAGACACTGTCCCGCACAGGGCAGGTGGCGCGCACTGCTCCACAGCGGTGGAGTCCCATTTGCCCATGATGCCAGCCAGCTGGTCACGCTGGGCCCGCTCCTTCAGCGCACCACCCAGGGAGTGGGCAACCTCAGTCCCGGCCCCAAGAACATGCCAGGACCCAGAGCCAAAGGCCTTGGCGGCCTCTCCTTGTGCCTGCGGCCTGCAGGCAGGCCACTTCACCTGTGCTGCTCTTCTGGCTCGGGGCCCTCACCACAGCCATCTGCTGCTCTGGCGCCCGGCCTCTCTGCCCAGGAAGGCAGTCTTGCCTAATTGCCGTGGCTCCTAACTGTTCCTTAGAACCAGGCTTCTCTCAGCGAGGGCGCTTCCGCAGGAGGTCCGGGCTATGTGAGTGTCGGCTACCTCCCCTCTCCGGAAGCTCCTGCTAAACAAAGGTTATCCCAGTCAAGCCGGAGCCCCATTCGAGAGAAGCTGGGGTGGGGAGCGAGGGGAGGGGCAGGAGGTGCAGAGCAGAGCCAGGGTCGGGCTCTTCTCCTCGCCGTCTCACTCTGCAGGGCAGCAGTGACACTCAGCGTCCCGGCCCCTGGGCTGTTAGAGCCACAGGGCCTGCACTCCCTCACCCCCGGCTGCAGCTCAGGACCAGGCAAAGACGGCCCGGCCACGGCCACACCACAGTCCGGGGGCCTTCCGTGGGCCGTGAAGCTGGGGCGCCGCAGGACAGACGGAGCCGACTGACCGAGCTCTGGAGCTCGGCCTTACCCAGTCCCAGCCCTCCCAGGAAACGGACGACAGCACAGCTTTGCTCAGACGGGATCGGATGTTTATAAAACAGTGACTATTCACAACAAACTGGGGGAGAAACACACCTTCCCAGCAACAGGGAATCTCTGTAAAGTGCATTTGCCTGCGACCGTCTCTTCCCCATGCTGGCCTCCGGACGAGATCTGAGGCCCTGCCCTGTGGCAGGCCCCGGGGCCGCCTGGGCCTGGAGAAGCGACACACAACTCCATCAGGAGCTCCAGGCTACTGCCCTCTGCTCAGCCCAGCCCCACTGGCTTAGGACTGGACTGCGCCGCTCCCCACAGGCAGCAGGCCAGGGCTGGGGAGCAGTCACCAGTCTACAGGAGCAGGGAGTGTCCTGACACCTGGAGGTGCTGCTGTGTGAACACTGAGTGTGGCCCTCTGCCCGGGGCTCACTCCACTCCCTCTGGAAACGACCCCAGTGCTCCCCCCTCCTGGCTGGGGCCGTGGGAACAAGGCTAAGAACACACCACCCGCACCCCGCTCCCCCAGGCCGGTGAGGGCGACAAACACGACAGCTGGACTGGGCAGCTCTCTGGCTGAGGGCGCCTCAGGACATGTCAGGGAGGAGCCTGTGGACGTGCCGGACAGCCGAGACACGAGCCTGACCCCGGCTCCTGGTCCAAGGACAGAGGACAGTGAGGGCTGGGGCTGGGGCTGGGGCCAGGGGAAAGGTCACAGGGGAGGTAGAGAGAAGGCCCGGAGGCCAGCTTAACGTGACGTGTGAGGATGGACTCCCGATGGGAACTGGCCCTCGCAGTCTCGTGCACACACGCACACGCACACGCACACGCACACACACTCTCTCGGTGGCTCAAGTGCAGGCCGCAGGGTGGAAGGAAGACTTCTCTGCCCACTACATGTCCCTCTCTCCACACAGGCCTCGGGCAGCAGGAGGGGAGGCGCAGGCACAGGCCACTCCTGGAATGCACGGCCTGGCTTCTCTGGGTCCAACCTCCCACCTGCTGTTTCTGGAAGGGGTGGTGCCCCGCGTGTGACCTCTACTGGACCTGCGCCCACTGCCCCGGCACTGCCCCACCCCGAGTCCCTCCGCCTGGGGCCTTGGGGCCCAGGACAGCTGATGTGGCAGCCTGGATGCGGACCAGTCCAGGGCAGGCCCTGGAAGCCCGCAGAACAGACTAGAACGGCTTCCCCGGCTAGCGGTCCCCACGGGCAGCACTGGGAGGCCCTGGGGTGCCGCCAGAGGGGCCGGGGCCTGTGAGTCCCCACACCTGCTCTCCTCCTGGTGGGGGGGCTGCGCCACAGCGCCCGCACGGGCTGGAGGCTGGCTCCCTGCTGCTCTGGAAGGAACGTGAGAGCTGGAGTTCGGCTCCTTGCCTCGGGCTCTGAGCCCTGAGGAGGCGGACGGGCTGTCTCAGGCCACCAGCCATGGTGCTGGGCGCTCACCACACGGGGAGGTGTCTGGGTGGACTTTGGTGCTGCGGCAGGAACTTCCTAGGTCTACAGCCTCGTGCTAAGTCCCAGACGCCCGGGAAGCGTCTGGAAAACCCAACGCCGGATGGCGTCCACGTGCCCACCTGCCCAGCCCCCAGACTCGGCTGCCTCTAAACCCCATGCTCCGGACCAGAGCCAGTGACTCGGGCCTCCCGCACCTGGCCTGATGCGAAGAGGGAGGAGGCTGGGGGAGGTGATGCCGGCGGCCACCATGGCCGTTCAGACAGGCAGCCGGTTCGCAGGGACAGGTCTTGGCCGGAGGTCACGGCCACGGCCCAGCCTTGTGTCGGAGGCCGGGCAACAGCACTCATGGTGAAGTGCGCCACGGGCTCTCCGCCAGCCCGGGCACCATTCTGAATCTCTACAGTGTAAACAGACGCATGCACACGCAGGCACACCGCTCCCTCCTCTGCACACGCGCACACACACACGCACACATGTTCGCGCCGCCTCCGTCAGCGGTCGGCTTCTCTGCGGGTCGCACGCGCTGCCGCGGGGCTTCCCAGGCACCCAGGCTTGGCTCCCGGAGCGACGGCTCTGCGGCTGCAAGACAAAAACAAGTGCAAAGGGGCTACTCAGGAGGCTGCGCGGTGCCTGGGGCCCTGAGCCTCTGTGGCCGCTTCTCTGGGGACACCCAGCCGGGGAGCTGGGAGAGCCAAGGTGTGACAGCACGGGCCACAGGGCCTGGGGACAGGCTGCGGCGGGGCTGTGGTGCAGCTGACTGAGGACTGCAGGACAAGCTCTCGCTGCAGACCCGCCCCAGGGTGGGGGTGAGCAGAGGAGGAGGAGTGTGAGGACCCGCCTGGCGTCAGAGGTGAGCAGGTCCCCAGAGGCGGATAAGGGCCCTGCGCAGCGCGGAAGCCGGCAGCGGTGGAGGGGGTGCCAGGAGGACTCATTTTCAAGATATATGACATCCCACATCTGGGGCCAAGGGACGAGACGACAGAGGACGGGGCCAGCCTGTCACCCAGTGCGGCCACCGTCTGGGTGGGCTGGGCGCGGAGGGGTAGTTCGCAGGCTTCCGGGGTGGGGGTGGGGGATGACGGGTCAGGCACGGACACCGTGTGCCCCCAGCCCCTCAGTGGGCATGTGGGGCTGGGGTCTTCAAGGAAGTACTTAAGAGGGCTGAGCCCGGACCCAATGAGGCCGGGCTTCTTAGAGGAAGAGGAAACGCAGACAGCACGGAGGGAGACGGAAGACTCGGGCAGCCCGGCCCACACCCTGACCTTGGCTTTCTGGGCTGCAGGGATGAGGGGATACACCTCGGTTGTTGAAGGCACCCGGCTGACCAGTACACCCCGAGTCCCATTCACCCTGAAGACAGGGCCTCCCCGTGTTCCGATGAGAAAAATGAAGCCACAGAGGGCTAAGTAACTTGCTTGAGCCAAGACGTGAAGCCCAGGTCTGTCTGACTCTAAAACCATGCACTACCAGTCAGCAAGTCCAATGTCCCGGTACTGCTCATCCAGGCTTCAAGAGAATATAAAAGAAATGCAACGTAGTGGCATAAAGACCAATATCCACGCAACATACAGGAAAGTAGAGATGCTAGGAGACAAGAAGAAATTTTTTTTTTTTTGGGGGGGGGGGACAGGCAGAGTTAGACAGTGTGAGAGAGAGAGAGAGAGAGAGAGAGAGAGAGAGAGACAGAGGTCTTCCTTCCATTGGTTTACCCCCCAAATGGCTGCTAAGGCCAGTGCACCGTGGCCGGTGTGCCGCACCGATCCGAAGCCAGGAGCCAGGTGCTTCCTCCTGGTCTCCCATGCAGGTGCAGGACCCAAGCACTTGGGCCATCCTCCACTGCACTCCCGGGCCACAGCAGAGATCTGGACTGGAAGAGGGGCAACCGGGACAGAACCAGCGCCCCAACTGGGACTAGAACCCGGAGTGCCAGCGCTGCAGGCAGAGGATTAGCCTAGTGAGCCGCGGCACTGGCCAAGAAATATTCTTAAAAGTCAGAGTGTAGAGAGGGATTCAAATCAGTCATCCCAAGGCGGGTGTTTAGCCTCGTGGTTAAGGCTATAGTGCAACAGTGGCGGTGGCCGCCTGGGTGGGGCACTATTTTCACCAACTTTTCTGTTTAAGCGTCTATCGCAACAGCCCGGTCACACGTGCTCACTGGGGACACACACGTCCGTTACTGAGGTGCACCTGCGTTACTGCGACATGCTGGCTGTGAGGACAGACCCTGCCCACGGCTCTCTCTGGCCCCTGCTCTTCAGAACACCTGCGGCTCCTCCCACTCTGACGCCCGCCCTGTGCTGTGCCCTCTCCACCTGCAGGTGCAGAATGCTTTAAGCTCCCCTGGAGCAAGGGCCCGTCAGGAAGCCCCGGCACCCGCTTCCGGGGCGGGCCAGACCAGAGCTCCAGGCCTGGCTCTGTGTGTGATGTGCACAGCATTCTGGGGACAGCGCCAGCCTCCGCCAAGCTCCCCAGGGGGCATGTGGCCCACAAGGGGTTTACACCGAAGTCTCAGCACAGCGGCTCCGGGGACGGGTGCTGTGGGGGGAGGGGCCATGATGGCCATGATGACCATGCCGACTCGGGCATGGCTCAGTTTGGGGCAGGCTCATAAGCGGAGGTGGCAGGGTCCCCGGTCACCTGTTCCCTCTGTGATGGGTCAGAGGCACCACCCCGCGTGTCCTTGTCTGCGAAGGCAGTGCAAGGCCTGCCCAGCAGTGCCGCAGGCTGCTCCATCAGCAGACAGCTGTGCCTGCTCTCGGCCGAGGACGCGCGTCTGCACAGAGGGGGCGGGGAACTCAACGAGGCCCTGCAGGAAAGTGATGAGAGCAGCACTAAAAGGCAGGGGCGAGCAGCCAGCGGGGCGCGCCAGGGAAAATCAACTCCTGAGCGGCCTGAGAGGTAATCTCTTCCACCGGTCAGGAGCGCAGGACGGGGAGAGGCAGCTGGGACTCAGTGAACGGCTCCGGGCTGTGCCCTCGAGGGGAGCTGGGATGGCCCCAGGGGACCGCCGCCCTCACAGCCCTGCCCGGTCGCCAGAGCTGCCAGTCTGTAGGTGCACCTGCCCTGAGGGGTGTGGCTAGAGGTGCAGCCCACGCCTGCCTTGGCAGAGGGCACCTAGCAGCTGGGGGTCTACAGAGCGACCGAGTCTCAGCTCTGCCCTCTGCCCACACCAGCTGAGGCCTGGGGCCCGAGCGCTCAAGCAACACGAGGGGCTGGCTACCGGCTGCCAGGTCAGGCCCGGGGAGGCACGCAGAGGGACCCAGCGCAGCCTCGGCCCCTCACCACCCACAGGGAAGGGACGCGGACCAATCACTAGTGACTTAACTCCACGCCTGAGAAGTGCCGGGGACACAGGCCCACCTTCTCCTGTTCAGGACAGGAATCGAGGACCCACAAGGTGACAGCAGGCAGCCAGTGGCAGGACAGGCGTGCGGCCCCTGGGTGGAGCCGAGGAGCCGGGCTCTGCTCCAAGTGCCACGCTGCCTCTGCTGCCACTAACCGAGCAGCTGGCACATGTCACAGCCAGGGCTGGCGTGGACAGTTACAGCAGTGTCACCACGACGCGAGTGGAGTTCACTCCAGGAGGCCAGGGCTGTGGGCAACTGCAGATGCGGGGAGCATGAAGGGGATAGGTACTTGGGGCCGGCGCTGTGGCATAGCGGGTTAAGCTGCTGCCTGGGTGCCTGCATCCCATATGGGCACCAGTTCCCGTCCCGGCTGCTCCACTTCGATCCAGCTCCCTCCCAATGTGCCTGGGAACACAGGGGAGGAGGGCCCAAGTCCTCGGGTCTCTGCAGCCCTGTGGGAAACCCGGGTGAGGCTCCTGGCTTCAGCCTGGCCCAGCCCTGGCTGTGGTGGCCGTTTGGGGAGTGCCCCAGTGGATGGAAGACCGATCAATCTCCCTCTCTGTCTGTCTCCCACTGGTTGTAACTCTGCCTTCCAGATACAGAGAGAAACCTTTAGGAAAGAAGAGGCAGGGGCTCCTTGGCCATGGAGCGCGTGTGCTCAGGGCTCCGCTCATCAGATCATGGGCAGGGCAAGCGGCACACGCGGGCAGCTCTCTCCCGGGGAAACAATGGGGCCAGTGAGAGAGAGGTGCGCACGGCTGGAGGCTGGCGGAACCCTGCGCGTCAGCAGATTTGGGAGCTGTTTGGAGGCTGCCTTGTTTACACTTTAGCGAGCTGAGCTGAGCGGCAGAGCACACAACACACGGGGTGGCTCTGAGGCCCTGGGCGCGCCACGGCCTACGCAGCGTCACAGAGCTCATGGGGAGCGGCGCCACCAGGTCACGGGTCCCCCTGAAGTCGCACAGCTCAAAGCAGGCAGGAAGGGCGGAGGGAGAGCAGGCCTCCCCCCTCGCTTCAGGGCGACTGACAGAGTTAGAGTTAGAGTTAGAGAGAGAGAGAGAGAGAGAGAGAGAGAAAGGTCTTCCTTCCATTGGTTCATCCCTCAAATGGCCACCACGGCTGGAGCTACGCCGATCCGAAGCCAGGAGCCAGGTGCTTCTCCTGGTCTCCCATGCGGGTGCAGGGCCCAAGGACTTGGGCCATCCTCCACTGCACTCCTGGGCCACAGCAGAGAGCTGGCCTGGAAGAGGGGCAACCGGGACAGAATCCAGTACCCCGACCGGGACTAGACCCCGGCGCCCATATGAGATGCCAGTGCTGCGGGCGGAGGATTAACCAAATGAGCCACAGCCATGGCACCGGCCCCCAGGTGCTGGCTCTGACTGAAGCCGCAGACCCACTGCTGAGCACGGGCATGCCGAGAATGGACCCAGGGGCTCGGTGCAGGTTGCACAGGTGCGCATGCCGGGCAGCACGGGGGCAGGACGCCAGCACCGTGGCTCTACAGGAGAGGGGGCTGCGTGTCTCGGGCAGAGGCCGCCGCCAGCAGAGCGGACCCCTCCCTGTCAGGGCTCCCGCGGAACAATGTCCCCCACCCCATCGGTCTCAGAGGGCAGTCCGCATGGCCCAAGGCCTCTGACCTCCTCTTCTTTTTTTTTTCAAAGTCAGAGATACAGAAAGAGGGAGGGAGGGAAGGGGAGAGACAGGCAGGGAGAGAGAGGTCTTCCATCTGCTGGTTCACTCCTCAGATGGCTGCACTAGCAGAGCGGGGCCAGGCTGAAGCCAGGAGCTTCTTCCGGATCTCCCACATGGGTGCAGGGACCCAAGGACTGGGGCCATCTGCGGATGCTTTTCCCAGACCATTCACAGGGAGCCAGACTGGACGTGGAGCAGCTGGGACTTGAACAGGTGCCCATGTGGGAGGCTGGCACTGCAGGTAGCTTTACCCACGCCACAGCGCCGGCCCCTCCACTCCAGTCTTCACGGCCTGGCCTGGCCTGGCTGCCCCATGGGCACCCACTGAGGGCACAGGAAGGCTGGCGACTCGGTCCTGAAGGCCCCAGGGGGCTACGGACAAGTTCCTGGGCTGCAGGGCGGCGGTCCCCGTGCCTGGGTTCTTTGCTGGCATCGCTGGCATGGCCCCGCCCAGCCCTGATCGCTGCCCAGACGGCACCTACGATGCTGCCTGGCTCGCGAGGGGACATCAAGGGCCTCCCCGGCCAGACCTGCCTACGATCAGACCCACTGCAACCTTCACAACACCTAAGGAGCTGCGTCTTCTGAGGACCTAGGAGCACAGGACGGCACCCACACCTCCGCGGCCCGGCCCCGACAGCAGCCGTGGCGGGACTAGGCCAGGGATTCCCACAGGGCGGTCCCTGGACCAGCAACGCTCCGACTGTACAGCTGCGCTCTCGGCTGGGGCCCAGCCTCTCCCCTCTGCTCACTCCACACTGCTTTTCTGTCCTAGCATTTCCGGCCTGTTGAGTACTAAGTAGCTATTTACTGTTTATTGTCTGTCTCTTCCCACGGAAATGTCTCCATGGGGGACAGGATATCATCAGTCTTGCTCATGGTTAATTCTCAGTGTCCAGAACCGGGCCCGGCAAGCTGTGAACTCCTGATGTGTGTTGACTGAGCACGTGAGAGCAGCTGTCCCCGCTGCTCCTTCTCTCTCCTCATCTGAATGAAGAATTGACGGCTGATGCTGCAGCAGCCACCTTGAGACCAGGAGGCAATGGTCGGATCGCAGAAAAAGGGGCTCTGACGTGGCTGAGCCACAGACCCCAAACCAGTAACACCCCCCTCCAGGCCCCTTGCTTGGCTGCAGTAGGCGGGTCTTCTGTTACTCTCAGTCCCACATGCTCCTGCCTGACACGGCCCAGCTGATCGTTTAATTGACCAAAACCAGTCACCCTCAGGCCCTCGATGGGGACCTCGGGGACGTGTTCCCAGGGCACGCTGGGCACCAGCAGCAGAGCCCGCTTCGCCTGCCTAGAAAGGATGGGCTCCGTGCCTTCCCGGAGGCAGAACACTGCGACCTCGTGCGTGACACCAAGCCACACTGTGGGTTACGCGCCCCCTTTCTCACAGGCCCGCTGGCCATGGTGTCACGCTGACCCTGCCCACTGGGCGACGTCGGAGCACCAGCCTGGCCGTTTCCAGCTGTAACACGGGCTGGACATCACTCGGTGCCACCGAGGTGAGAGAAGGCCGGGGCTGCTACTGCCAGGAAGACAGTACAAACCCGCCCGACAGCAGTGGCCTTGTCAGCAGCCCAGTAATGGCAAAGGGTACAAGCCGCCCACACTCGCCAACCCACAGAGCACATCCAATGCCCGGCCCGGCCCTGAGGTGGGCAGCATCTGGAAAAAACCCATCAGCTCCACCGAGAACACCGCCTTCCAGCCTAACGGCACCGAGGAGGCCCGAAAGGAACAGTGTGACAGCGTGACTCAGACGGCAGCCACTTACAGCCCCCGGGGAGGAGAACGGGCCCTTCCTGCCTTGGGGAAGGGGAAGCCAGCTTTCTAATGACATTCAGGGGGCACTGAAAGGCGTGCACTGGCAGGCTGGGGGGCTGTGAAAGGCAGAGAGCCACGGCGCCCGGGGGTGAGCAGGGGCGGACACTGTGGCCCGGGGTCTGGCACCCAGCGCTTGCTACTTGCTTTAGATGCTTCTTGGGGTGAAACGATTTCTAGGTGACATCTTGGAAAGAAAGGACCCCGCACTTAATTACAGATAATACAGTGTGGGGGGTGGGGAAGGCCGGGTTACCCGGGACCTGAGGTGGGTGGGACTGGAGCCACTGCCCCGCCCCCTGCCCCTCTTCTGAAGGCCTGTTCTGCCCCCTGCTGGCCTATTTGCAGAACACAGCCTTGGGGCAGGATGCAGGGCCTGCAGCCGCCCCTACCCACGGGCAGCGTCACAGGATGAGGGGGCGATCCCTGCTTCCGCTTTGCCTGACTTCACTCAGGAAGGAAGCACCAACAAAAAACACCAAACCCCGCTTCTTCCCACTTCACCGGCACACGCACAACAGGCTGGCCTTCACGTCCTTTTAGACGGGAGAGAGGAAGAGGAGCCCCATCCCGGGAGGCCCGGCGCGGCACTTCTCCAAACCCAGCCCTGGCTTCCCCCCTGCTCGAAGTCTGGCCCGCGCCGCCACTCACCCTCAGACGGCCTTGCTGGGCAGCTCCGGCGTGGGCACCTCCGCCACCCTGGCCCGCTTGCTCAGTTCTTCACCAGGGGGCTCCTCCGCTGCTTCGAGCTTGCGTTTGGGGGATGCTGGGCCACTGGGCAGTGGTCTCGGGGCTGGGAGGAGGGTCACGGAGAGTGAGCATACGGTAGGCACACCCTGCACGGGGGCACCCGCCGCGCCTCCGGGCACACGGGCACAGCGCGTGCCCTCCCGACTTCCTGGCGGCACCGCCCTCGTCCAAGGAGGTGACCAGGCCTGCCGGCAGCAGGGCCAGACCCCAGCCAGACTGATGCTGCTCTCTGCTGTCCCTGCTCCGAAGCTGAGACCTCCCCCTGCAAGTCTGGAGCAGCCTCCCAGAGCTCAGCCTGGCCGGGGAAGCAGCTGCCACCCGGGTCTCCATCCCAAGCTGGAGAGAGGACGCTCAGGGCGCAGCGACCCCGTCTGCCCCCCGACTCCTGGCGGCTGCCCCCCCTTGCCTCCTGCACTCTCCACACTGCAGGCAGGAGGAGGCTTCAGAAACCTAGGCCCGGCCATGCCCAGCCCGCTGGCCACCCAGTGCAGAGCAGGCAGCGGCTGCTCCCCGGCTCGTCCTCACGCACAGGACGCGCCACCCACCAGTCTCCCTCTGACCCCTCAGGTGGGCTCAGGCCAGCCCTGGTTCCGGGCCTCGTCCTGCTGTTCCCTTCGTCTGGAATGTTCTTTCCCCCGTCCCGTCAGGGCTGGCTCCCGCGCACCCCTCGGGGAGTCAGCCACAGCTCAGACACGTTCCCCGACGGCCCGAAGGTGCCTCTCCTCCCCAGGCCCCCGTCCAGACTCCTAACTCTGCTTCCCCAGGGCACTAGCTGTCTGCGACGGTCTACTGGTCCTGCGGGGGTAGCCTCACGCGGGCCCGGAGCTCTGCTGGCCAGGACTCGGTCTGGCCTCCGCCCGGAAGGCCTGACGCGGTGCCACAGGCCATCTGCTGCTCACCTGCGCCGCTCACGCTCCCGGCCTGGCTCGAGCTGGGCTCCGCCACAGGGTGGCTGAGGTCTTCCACACAGGAAGGGACAGAGGCCAGCAGACCTGGAGAGGCGGGGGGTGGGGGGTCATCAGAACGCAGCCCCACAGGCCCGCAGAGGCTGCAAGGGACGCGGGAGGCCGGGATCGTGGCGCCGCGGCCCAGCTCTTCCTGCTATCGCACAGCTGCCCAGGGAGGCCCACTCCAGCCTAGCCTATGTGTCCTGGGCCCAGGAGGGCGACTCAACGTCGTAGCCTGGAAGACGGCACCCGAGGTCCCTCTGCAAGGATCTGGGGTTCCCTGTGGAGCCTCCCCCAGCCTGCGGGTGTCACCCCTCCCTTCAGGGGGCGAGGAGATGGGGGCAGGGCGGGGCAGCGCCTTACAGAGGCCCCGGTACCGCGACAGCTGCTGGTAGATCTGCTTCATCCGCTCAATGTTGAGGCGGCTGGTCTCGGCGTGGTTGACGATGGGCCGCGGGTAGTCCACGCCGATGATGCACTTGGCTGCCTTCTGAACGGACTCCGGGGCGTTCCAGGGCTCGTAGATGTAGCGAGAGGGGAACCCTTTCAGCTTGGGCAGGTATCGCCTGGAACACACCCCCACGTAACCCATCAGCACCCCGAGGCGCTGGCCCGGGGCCCCGCGGCCAGAAGCCAGACGGCCTGGCGTGCAGCCGCACCTGACGTAGTCCCCGCTGGGGTCGGTGCGGCGGCCGAAGCCCACGGGGCAGTAGCAGTGGAAGAACTGCTGGAAGAAGGCGCTGCAGGACAGCCACATCCAGCTGCCCGCGTTCACGCTGAAGTCGGCGTCCAGAAGCAGCTCGTCGAACACCTGGGCGGGGGCGGGGACGAGCAGACTCCTCGGGGATCCGCGGCCACGGTTCTCCCCCAGGGGCCCAGGGCCAGCCACGGAAGGCTCCCACGCCATCCCCCCGCCCGGAGAGGGCAGCCCACAGCTGGGCTCGGCAGAGGGAGCGGGCACTCACCCGGACCCCGCTCTCCCAGCTGACCCACAGGTCGCCGCGCGTGAGGAAGCAGGCCACGGCGTGCCGCGCCAGGTGGTGGATCCAGCCCTCCTGCCTGAGCTGGGTCATGATGGCGTCGATCCAGGGGAAGCCCGTCTTGCCCTCAGCCCACTTGGCCAGGGCCTCGGGGTTGCGGTCCCAGGGGATCTGGATGCAGATGGGGTTCCCCTCCATGCGGTCGAACCTGGGGTTGTTGGTGGCTGCCGTGTAGAAGAACTCACGCCACAGGAGTTGCCCAAACAGGGACAGGGGAGGGGTGCTGTTCCGCTTCACCTGAGGGCGGGGGCGGCACGGACACGTGAACGCTTGCCCGGCTCGCTGCGCCAGGCCGCTCAGGTCCCTACAGACTCCAAACCTCCTAGACAGGCGGAGGGCCTGTCCTCTGGAAGAAACGGCGCAGCGCACCTGCAGACTCAGCCCCGGCCCTGGCAGGCAGCAGCAGATGGCCTGAGTGCTTGGGCCCCTGCCATCCACACGGGAGACTTGGACGAGCTCCTGGCTCCCGGCTCCCGGCTCTGGCCTGCTGCAGCCATTTAGGGAGTGAACCAGTGGATGGCAGATCTCCGTGTCTCCCTCTCTCTCTCTCGCTCTGCCTTTCAAATAAAATCATTTTAAAAAAGAAAAAAACTTTTAAAAAAGATGTGTAGGGAATGTAAGGGGAATCATTACAGGGAGAAGTTAGTAAGTCTAAAAAATGATATTTAAAAAAAAAAAAAACAAAAAAACCAGAGTGGTTGCAGAAAGCCAGGCAGGGTGGGCAGGAATCAAGCCTGCCAAGACTGGCCACGGTGGTTGGCTGCACTTTCTAGATAGTCAAGGGGAGTTCTCTGATCAGAGTGCATAAAATGCTCGGTCCAGACATGGGGTAAACAGGCTGCACACGCAGGCTGGGTCCATGGAGGAGTTAAGAGACCAGCCTCCAGGAGTTCCAGGAACGAGAGGTGCAGCAGGTAAGATGCCACTTGCGATGGCTGCCTTCCATATTAGTGCCAGGGTTCAAGTCCCAGCTCCACTCCCAACCGCGGCTTCTCGCTAACGCACGCCCCAGTGGGTGGCAGGTGGCGGCTCCAGGGGTTGGGTCCCTGCCCCCCAACCTGGGAGACCTGGACTGAGTTCCTGGCTCTGGGCTCTGGCCCGGCCCGGCCTCAGCCGTTGTGGTCTTCTGGGGAGTGAACCAGGGGATGGGGGCTCTGTGTCTGCCTGTGACTCTCAAATCTATCAATCGATAATAAAATAATAATTTGTTTACAAAAGGGATCAGATCTCTAAGCAAATAATGATTTTCCTAAAACCGTAAGATTACCCCCCCCCCCCAGTTGCCAAGCTACCAGTGGCCTGAATTCATGACCTTGGCAAGGACAGGGAAACGTCAGAAACGCAGCCCCAAGGAAGAGCCGCTGACTGGGGACTGGATACCTGTCCCTTCTCCTTCCAGGGATGCCTGTGGGCTGCTGGTCCCCATGGCCGGGCCCCCATGAACTCTCTCCCCCTGCCTCGAGCCTTTCTCCCAGCGCTCATGGGCAGGTGCAGCCCCTGGACAGTCCCTTCAGTGCTCTGGGGGCAGCCCCAGAGGGCAGCTGTGCTCAGTGCAGGACTGGCTCCAGCCTCACCTGCCCATCGTCCCGCGCTGGGGCTCTGGTGCACATCCACCCCCAGCCAGTGGACCTGCTACCTCTGGGCCCCCCGCGGCCTCCTCTGCCCCACAGGACCACAGGGGATGGATGCAGATCAGTGATTCACTGGGCGCGTGGCTCTGCCAGCCCTTGCGCACTGACCCTTCCCCACCCACTCTGGACTATGGGATGTATGACACAGGCCCCCACCTCCAGGGACAGGATGGGGACCTTTTCCAGGGTGACTGGCAAACGCAGGAGGCCCAGGGCCACTTGGCTGCAAGCGGGGAAGGCACACAGGCCGCACTGCTCTCACCTTCTTATACAGGTCCCACAGGCGGTAGTAGAAGAGGCGGCAGGACAGGCAACCGAAGCGCAGGTAGGGGCTGAGGCCGGTGGGGCTGGCCAGCAGGGAGTTGGCGTTCATCCGGGGTCTCTCATAGTTGGCAACCCACGCCTGTGGAAGGGGAAGGTGACAAAGCAAAGAGCTGGGTGCTACGGAGGAACGGAGAGCCACGGGGCCAGGGCTTGCACGCCGTGCTCACGCCACTCCTCGGAAGCTGTGGATCTGCGTTCTGGCCCTGACTTCGCCAGTGAAGCTGCGGATGAGTGTAAACTTTGTCCCTCAGCTGTTTCTCTATTAAATAACAGCATTTCCCCTCCCCTGAGATGAAGCGAAATGAGACAGCCAAGAACTGGAAAAAGACTGAGTGGACTCCAACCATCAGAGGAAAGGAAAGGCTTCTCCTCTACAGAAACAAGGCCCGTCTCTGGTCACCAGGGCCTCCTGAGACTGCCCTGCCCCACGCCGCCCGAGGCCGCGGCTGCCGTCACGCACTCTCCGTCAGATCTGCACGGCCCCGCGAGGGAGCCTTGTCGTTGCCTCCTTTGGAAAACGAGCACCGAGGCTCAAAGGTTCTGCGACTCACCTGGGGGCCGGGGAGGGCGGGCTTCCGAGTCCTGACCAGGCTCTCCCTGCTACCTGTGCAAGTGTCCTCCTGCGCAACCCCTACGCCCATCCTTCGGTTCCTGGCACCCGGTGACAGACTGCTTGCCCCGCCCAGGCCTCCACTGCACACTTCCCAGCTCCACCCCTCAGCAGACGAGAAGGCAACACGAGCCACCAGGTAGCCACCTGCAGTCACTGAACCCCCACCTGCATCCACGCCCACCCTTCTCCTCCCCTCCCATGACCTGGCTCGGAGTCCTCCCCTCTCTCCCCTTGTCTGTTCAACCTCCCTCTCTCCTCTCTCTCTCTCTCCAGTTTCCACTCCAAGAACACTCTTCTCGCTCAAATATACAAAGCAAAGGACACAGCAGTGCGGCTGGGCCTCCCCACCTGGGCCCACTGTGCTCCTTCAAAACCCACCTCTCTCTACTTCCCTCACCCCCGCCTCCACGTTCCAGCCCACCTGCTGGCTCCTGGCTTCTCCACTCGGCCACGCTGTCCCTCCCATCTTCCACGCCACGTACCCCACACGCATCCTGTTCTCCCAGCAGCACAGCACCATGGCCGGCTCCTGTCTCTCCTCCGGGGATTCCCTGGGCCTTGGTGACCTCACAGCTCATGGGCTGCTCTTAGTCTTCCCTGAGCCCCTCCCCCTCCATCTCTCTCTTCAGTGCCGGCAGCCCAGGGCTCTGTCGTGGGCCCAGCCATTCCCCGCTCCCAAGACCGTCTCTGCAGACAACACACCCTCCAGGCTCTGGGCTGTGTGGCCCCATCCGGGTAACTGGAGCAAAACACATTCTTTCCTTTAAACCACCCTTCGACAGGCCCCCCAGTCTCAGACAAGGCACCACCATCCGTCCAGCGACTGCCCAGGGCACAAGCCTGCCTTCCACCTGGACACGCCCAGGGCACAAACCCGCCTCCCACCTGGACACGCCCTCACCAAGTCCTCAATCTATCCTCCTCTTTCCATTCCCTCCTGCTGCCAGTCTGGGTCAGGCTAAGCCCACAGCTAGACTGGACCACGGCGACAGTCTCCTGAGTGGCCCCTTTCAGACCACTCTCCACCCTGGGACAGTGCCATCGCCTAAAGTCCCTGTCCCCCCGATGGCACAGGCAGGCGCTTCCTGCCCTCCTGGGACACAGTCCCACATCACACAGACTGGCAGGTGCACAGGCGCCCTGCCCTCTCCCACCTGTGCACACATACATCCTCCTTGGCTCACCCCGCAGGCGAAGCCCCTGCACCAGACAGCAGGCCTCAGGGCCTGCACACATCCCCGCGACTCCCCTCCCGTCCTCTCTCTACCGGAAACGGACTCACACACACAGAAGCTCACAGAGACACGTGCACAACCACCAGCAAAGGTCAAAGAACAGGAGTCTGGCCACGCTCCGCTCAGAGCACTCTCCTCCCCGCCCACTTCACGGCCACTGCCTGCAGCCCTGAAACGTCACCACGTCCTACTGCAGCGCAGGCCTGGCAGGGGGCTCGGTCTCTTCAGGTATTCCTTGCATTTCAAGCAGCGGCTTTCCCCCCAGCTTTCTATCCCCGGGCGCCACGGTTCAGTCTTGGCTGTTTAACACACTGTCATGTGTTATTTAGTTTCTTTTTTCCCTTGGTTATTTGAGAGGTAATGAGAGCCAGAGAGTGACAGAGGATACAGACTCCTGCTGCTGGTTCACTCTGCCAGTGTCGTCAGTGAAGCCGGGCACTCACTCCAGGTTTCCCCCGTGGCTGGCGGGGCCCCAACTTCCTCAGCCATCACCCCTGCACGGAAGGCCCGCGTCAGCAGGAGCTGGGCTGGGCCCGAAACCCCAGGACTCTCGGTTCTCTCACAGCGGCTGCCCAGAGCCCGCACTGTCAGCAGCAGCCTCCCTCTCGGCCGCCGTACGCGGCAGCAACCTCGCGTGAGTGCATCTCCACCCACGTCGGCCAGGCTGGCGTCCAGATCAGCAATGCCTGCTGGGAGCTCTCCTGCCTGGAACACGGCATCCAGCCCGATGGCCAGACGCCAAGTGACAAGACCACTGGGGAGGAGACGACTCCTTCAACACCGTCTTCAGTGAGACGGGCGCTGGCAAGCACGTGCCCAGGGCCGTGTCTGTAGACCTGGAGCCCATGGTCATTGATGAAGTTCACACTGGCACCTACCGCCAGCTCTTCCACCCCGAGCAGGCACAGGCAAGGAAGACGCTGCCAGTAACCATGCCCGCGGGCGCTACACCACTGGCCAGGAGCTCACTGACCTCGTCCCAGACCGAATCCGCGAGCTGGCTGACCAGTGCACGGGCCGGCAGGGCTTCTTGGTTTTCCACAGCTTTGGCGGGGGCACTGGCTCTGGGTTCACCTCCCTGCTGGTGGAGCACCTCTCTGTCGATTACGGCGAGAAGTCCAAGCTGGAGTTCTCCACCTCCCCAGCCCCCGAGGTCTCCACAGCTGTGGTGGAGCCCTACAACTCCATCCTCACCACCCACACCACCCTGGAGCACTCCGATTGTGCCCTCATGGTCGACAATGAGGCCATCTATGACATCTGTCGGAGAAACCTTGATATCGAGCGCCCCGCCTCCACTAACCTGAAGAGGCTGATAGGTCAAACTGTGTCCTCCATCGCAGCTTCCCTGATCTGATGGAGCCCTGAATGTGGATCTGACAGAATTCCAGACCCACCTGGTGCCCTGCCCCGGCATCCGCTTCCCTCTGGCCACATACGCCCCGTCATCTCTGCTGAGAAAGCCCACCAGGACCAGCTTTCTGAAGCAGAGGTCACCAATGCTTGCTTCGAGCCAGCCAACCAGATGGTGAAGTGTGACCCTCGCCACAGTAAGTGCATGGCTTGCTGCCTGCTGTACCGTGGCGACGTGGTTCCCAAAAATGTCAATGCTGCCACTGCCACTGTCAAGACCAAGCGTGCATCCAGTTTGCAGATGGGTGCCCCACTGGCTTCAAGGCTGGCATTAATTACCAGCCTCCCACGGTGGTGCCTGGTGGAGACCCGGCCAAGGTGTGATGGTGAGCAACACCAGCGCCGTGGCCGACGCCTGGGCTCGCCTGGACCACAGGTCTAACCCTCGGTTCACTGGTACGTTGGGGGAGAGGGGGGCATGGAGGAGGGAGAGTTTTCTGAAGCTCAGGAGGCCATGGCCGGGGGAGCCCTGGGGAAGGATCAGGAGGAGGTCGGTGTGGATTCTGTTGAAGGGGAGGCTGAGGAGGAAGGCGAGGGATACTAAAAATGTCACCAAGGTGCTGCTTTTACAGGGAAGCTTTTTCTGCTTTAAACAGTGGAAACCTGGGGTCTGACCAGTTAATCTGTATTTAACAGGGTACGACTTACACTTTGAAACACAAATGCTTTGTCACAGACCCAAGCAGTTCATTTCTCTGATGGGTTCTGAATAAAGTATTCCTTGTCTCAAATAAATAAATAAATAAATAAACCTAAGCACTCTAATGTGACAAAAGGATGTCCTAGGGCCGGCGTTGTGGCACAGTGGGCAAAGCTGCAGTGCTGGCATCCCCTATGGGCGCCAGTTCCAGACCTGGCTGCTCCACTTTCGATCCAGATCCCTGCTAATGTGCCTGGGAAAGCAGCTGAAGATGGCCCAAGTGCTTGGGCCCCTGCGCCCATGTGGGAGACCTGGAAGAAGCTCCTGGCTTTGGCCTGGCCCAGCTCCAGCCATTACGGTCATTTAGGGAGTGAACCAGCAGGTGGAAGATCTTTCTCTCTCTCCTTTCTTTCTCTGTCTCTCTACCTTTCAAACAAACAAGTAAATCTTTAACAAAAAAAAAGAAAAAGAAAAGGATGTCCCAAGCGGAGTCCCAACGGCCAGGTGCAGCGCCCACCGCGCAAGTCCCCTGCACTCGCCACGTCTCTGCCACCTCTGTTTGCCTTTCTGCGGAGGACACAGTCTCTGACCTGCCGAGTGGCCGAGCACCAGCTTCTGCTGCCCGCGCATTCGTGGTGCGGCTCACGCACCCCTCCGTCTCACGCATGGCCTGCCATCAGGTGGCTGCTGTCAGAGACCGGGCTGGGCTTGGCTCCCAACCTTTTGGCAACACTGGGGCGGGGGCCACATGATGCCCGACCGTCTCTATGTTGCTGGCTGTCACCCCTGCACAATGCGTCCCCACTGGGGACTGCAAATGGCGGTCCTTTAACCCTACCATTCCCTTTTCCTTTAAGAACCATCAGAATTCTTTATAGAGAGGTGCTGGCCCTCATCTGCCAGCCCACAGCTCAGGGGTAAAGACCATATAGCTTGCCTGACTCCGCAAGGTCTCACTCTGCCATGGGCTGTGTGACTGCAGGCAAGCTGCTTAGTCTAAGCCTCAGTCGCACAATGAGTGCAACAGAGAATTGCACACCTACCGAGCATACTGCTGGAAAGACTACAGGCAGTAACGCCAGCAGGTGCCCAGTCCAGAGGGAAGGACTCTCGAGACGGGCTGACGGTGACCGCCGCTGCTGCTGTTACCGCCATCACTAGGGTTTCTCATCTTTCAACCCACGTGAGCTAGGAGGAACAGAACCTGACCTGTCCCGCAGCTGCATGGCCGTCAGCATCCACATACCTTCCGTTCCAGGTGCTTATCCAGGCGGGCCAGAGCTTCCGTCTCGCCGCCCTGCCAGACAGCTGGGCTGAGTCCTTCAGTAGGGAACCCTGCAAGACGAGCAGCGGGTCACGGGGCAGCCCGCGGGTCTGGCCACGGTGAACTGAACCTGACTGCGACCGAAGCACTGGGTTCCCAGTGCCGCAGGAGCTGCGCGCTCCTGGAGGCCACATTTCCCGGTTCTCCGCCCACGTCGCTACTTCCTCCTTTCCCCTCGCTGGCCCCTTCCCGCCCCACCCTTCCAGGCACGGAGAACAAGTCTGGCCTCTTGCCCACTCCCATCAGCGGGCAGGGACAGTGGTTTTCAGGGCGGACAGGCTGACTCGGCCCAAGTCCAAGGTCAGACCCCTCTCAGCAGAAGCCAGCCTCGTTACCCCGGTGTGGGGAGCCCGCTAAGAGCAGCAGCAGACCCGGCGGCACACCCGAGAAGCCAAGATCGCGCGGCTGTGGCGACGGAGGGCACACTCCAGCACCAAGGCCAAGGGCGGCTGTCTCCGGCTATTCCCATCTTTGCTTTCCCGGATCTTCCAAACTGTCTATGCTATGTGTTACTCTGGCAAAGGTGGAAAACGGCCCAGCATGGCTGCAGCCCCGGCAGCCCCGGCAGGCGTACGCACCCAGCTCCTCCAGGGAGGGCACGCCGTAGGTCTCGTCGTGGTTGTCCTGGATCTCGGCCCGGCAGCCCTCCAGCTGCTGGCTTGTCACCGAGCCCGCTGGCTTCTTGGGCAGCTCCATGCGGCTGATGATGGCCTGGAAGCGCTTGTAGGTGAGCGGCGGCTTCTGCCCGTTCAGCTCAATGATCCTGGGGGGCCCACAGCACACGTGGCGTCACTTGCGGGGCCCTCGGTTGCTGCCCTGCCCATCCAGAAACGAGCCCTGACTCTGAGGGTGTGAGGGTGGCTCTCCTCAGCCACTCACAGGCCCCATCTCCACTTTACTGCGAGGGAAAACGAAGCCCAGCAGGCTGTGGCAGGGGCGTCCGGTAACGGAACAAGCCAGGGCCAAAGCTGGGGCTCTAGTCCGGGTTCCCTGGTGTCCAAGTGGAGCCACCTGGAAACAGACTGACCACATCCTCACCACTCACAGAAAAAGGCCGCTAGCCTTGGTACCTGGCCTAGCTGTCCGAGCCCCGGGGCCCCGGGGGCCTCCCTCTCTGTCCCAGCATGAGCCCTGGAGGAAGCTCTTTGCTAAGTGCTGCACACCTGTCCCCTTCCGGGAAATCACGCCTGCCGCGTGTGTCTAGGACACACGTGGAGGGCAGCCCCGTCCGCCCGGGTCAGAGCTAGGCTCTGCTCAGCACTTTACAGATATCTCTCAGGAGCGAAGAAAAGAGCCGCCCTACTGCGAGAAGAGAACCAAGAACTGTTCATAACACGATCACTTGGGAGGGTTTGGGGCCAGACTCCTGGGGCTCTGGCTGGCCAGGAAGTAGCTTACGCAAGGCCAGGCTGGCTAGGTGAGTTCATTTTGTTTGTTCCCTCTGCTCCCCCTCCGTGGGACGCAGGGCTGGCTGCTGTCTCTGCAGTACCTCCCCCTCCTCGGCACGTGGCCGGAGGAAGAGCTGCACACCCAGCCGGGCGCAGGCTCACGTGCTCAGCTGTGTGACCCGGCCTCCTGGCAGCCGGCGCAGTGCTGGGGAGAGGGGGCGGGGCGCACTGGCGGGGCCAGCTTGGCAGCAGTAGCAGCAGGAGAGTGGAGGAGGTTCTCTGTAGCTGTCAGCTCCCGGCAGGGACCGCTAGATCCCTGAGCACAGCCAAGGAGCTGATCCCAGGTGCAGGGGTAGGGCCTGCAAGAACACAGGCCTGCTGGTGGGGCTGGCAACAGGCCCCTGGGGTCAGAGGGCCGCCCTGGAGGAGCAAGGCAGAAGTGGGAACGCACGGCACAGATGGCGCAGAGCAGAGTAGGCGAGAGGGCCCCTTCCGCCGCCAGCCCTGGGCCTAACTGATCCCTTCATGCCAAACTGGGTAAAGCTCTTTAGGACCTGTTCTTTGTGGCCCCAACTCTGGATCCTTCTGCAGCTTCTACAAAATGCTGTGGCTCACAAGCCGCTGGGCCCCCAAGGCTGAATCCCCTGAGTTCTACTCAGCAGGGGCCCGAATCACCAAGCAACCCTCCTAGCTGGCAACCAGATCCCCGGGCCCCGACTCTTACCTGTCCAGGTCATAGAGGGTGTGAGAATTCTCGGTCACCACCTCCACGCCGGCCTCCTTGGCCATCTTCATGATGGCCGCGTCCCGTTCTTTCCCAAAGGGTTCAGAGTCATACTCGAAGGTCAAGCGGGTCACCCCCCATTCCTGTGGGGAGAGGAGCCGTCACGCTCAGCCCTGGGTCTGGGGAGGCGGGAACAGCATCTGTCCGGAGGCCTGGCCGCACGGGCTTCAGAGCACGCTAGGTACAAGGATCGGACCAGGAAGCCAAGAGCCAGAGGCTCCAGGTGTGAGCCTACAGGCCTACGACGGGGAGCCAGGGGATTCAGGGAGAGGTGGAAGCTCTGTGCACCTGCCGTGTCCTTGAGTGGGAGCAGGAGCAGGCCACCATGAACACAGTGCTCCCGGGGGAGCCCCGGCCCAGAAAGAGGCACTGACTCACGGGTGGAGACAGTGGCGGACAGGATCACCAGCCCCCACTGCTCTCAGTGAGCCTTTCCCAGTGCTCCTCACAGCCTGCAAACTTGTGGCCTAGTTTTCTTGGCCGACTGATGCTATGTGAAGTGCCTTGACGGTTTCCACAGCAACACTCCCGAGCCAACAGCAGACAGAGCTAATGGGCTCCAGCTCTGAGAGTCGGGAAGGAGGAGCCGTTCCCAGCCCAGAGGTCAGAGAAAAGAGGCCACGGGGGCTGCGTGGTGAGACGGAAATTCTTTGCTAAGTTGTAGTCCCTTCTGGCAGGAATTCCCAGATCTCCCAGCAACCCCAGCGAGCTGGCCCCGGGAAAGGCCGCGCAGACGAGCCCCACAGAAAGCCCCACAGCATGCAACCAGCCAGACAGAAAACACATTCTAACCGAAGTCCGGGGCAGTGTCCCTCCCAGCCCACTGGCGAGCGTGGTCACAGCTGAACCTGCCAGGGGACTGGGGCCCTCGACGGGCCCAGGCTCTCTCTCATCCAACAATGAAAGCACTAAACATTTACTGAGCCCTTAATAAGCCAGGTGCCACGCGCAGTGATTCACAGACGCCATCACTAAATACCCATAATCACCCTGCGAACAAGCTAACAAAACACCCAGGAAATGACTCCTCCACGAAGCCCTCCTGATCCCTCCCTGCAGCGGGATGCTCCTCTCGCCACGGCGTTTATCTCACGGCCGTGACGTCGCCTGCCTGGAGACCTGAGCTCTCCATCGTCGCCACCTAATGCCTAGTAGGGGCCTCGCACACAGCAGCGATCGCTACACATGCCCCGAGCGACTCAACCACTGAGGCGCCTCCATCTCTGGGTCGGACCCGGGCTGGCGGCCTCTGCGTGGCTAGGAGACAGCGGTGAGGCGGAGGGGGAAAGAGGCCGACAGGTGAGGCTGGCGACGAGGTAAGGGACGCGGCTGGGGACTCGAAGAATCCACGACCACCTCTCAGTACGTTCATGACCACGGGCAAACTGCTGCTCTCTGCCCTGCCAAACGGGCAGCACCCACCCACCTGCTGGGGCTGCCGTGAGGGGCGGGGCAACAGCTGGGCCCCGTCAGCCCTCCATAAGCGAGTGCTGCGACTACACATGCGGCCCGGGGAGTGCCTATGACTGAGCCGCCTGTCCCAACACGAGACTTCCCTTCCCGTCCCCGGGGCTGGCGTGGAGAAAGGTGTAACAGCCACTGCTGGCCGTGTGCCCCACAGCCCTCGGTCCAGGGGCCTGTGCCTGCTTTTTAAAGTGGCTGGCAGGGGGAGGAATGGGCTAACCCTTCGACATCACACACAGAGGCCGAGGCGGCACCGAAGGCACCCACGTCAAGATTTCATCAATCATTGACTCAGGCCTCTGTTTCCCCGATAAGCAGAGCAGGGCACAATGGGGCACGCCCCTCGCCAGACAGGAAACCCCACCCTCACGGCCCTGGCACACAAGCCCTAATAAAGCTTGCAGGCCTGGGCCAAGGCAACACGACGGGAGCCAGAGGCAGCCACATCCCACGTCTGGCCTGGCCTGGAGGCTTGCCCAGTCTCTGGTCGCACGGAATTTTCCCCAAGCTTCCTTCCTGGTGCAAGCTGAGCAGCTGCCTGGGCTCCCAGCTCCTCGGTCGGCGGCTCCCGGCTCCCCCGTGCGCGCGGAGGGCACCCCCAGCGTGCAGCAGGTGGCCCCCCTCGGGGCCCTGCGCACGTACCTTGAACAGTCTTGGGAACACATCAGTGGGCTGTCCTCGCACCACGAACAGGCGGGAGTTGAGTTTCCTTAAACTGGTGTCCAGATCCTCCAGAGACTGAAGAAGGAACCTGCAGAGTGAGACACATTAAGAAGCGGCTCTCGCTGCCGACCGCCCAGAGGAACGGGTCCACTGTGGATGCCACGCCAGGAGCGGCCTGGGGAGCCGGCTGGAGGCGCTGGGGTTCCGGTGCAGGCGTGAGGAGGCCACGGATCAGCTCTGCCTTGGCTGCGACCTCGGCCTGGCCCCTCACTAACTGGGCCTCAGGCAGTAACTTAACTTCCGTGGCCCATTCTCCCAGCTGAATAGAGCTGACGCTAGTGCTTATCTCACAGAATGGCTAAGATGCGGCTACCAAATTATGCACGAAAAACACGCAGGCAGTGCCTGGCAGGCAGAAATCCCAGGACACGTGTGAGCTGTTCCTCCCGTGGTGTCTCTGCGCCAATTCCCTCGCAGCCTTGGGATGGGCACCCGAAAACTGAAGGCAATCCTGTGGCACGAGACCGTCACAGCGCTGGAAAACCTCCCCAGCCCAGGCCAAGCCCTGGCCGTTCAGCACCCGCACTTGAGACTGCGCTGCGTTCCTGTCCCCAGCCCTGTGGCAGGTGGCTCACTCTCCAGGTCTCTGGCCACCAGGTTCTCAGGCCAAGAGGCAGAGACTGTAGAAGGTTCCTTTCTTTAAAATTATATGTATATATATATTACTCTTAAATATTAAGAAAAATGATAAATTTTTTAATTTATTTGAAAGGCAGAACCACAGGCAGACTGAGGGCGAGAGGGTGGGGGGGTGGGGGGTGGGGGCGGATATCTTCCATTTGCTGGTTCATTCCTCAAATATCCCCAACAGCCAGGGCTGAGACAAGTCAAAGCCAGAAGCCTGGAACTCCATCCAAATTTTCCATGTGGGTGCAGGGACCCAACTACCTGGGCCATCTTCTGCTGCCTTCCCAGGGGCATCAGCAGGGAGCTGGATAGGAAGCGGGCAGCTGGAACTCAAACTGGCGCTCATATGGGATGCTGGTGTCACAGGTGGCGGCTGTAGCTTCACCCACTGCACCTTCACACATCTGCAGGGGCAAGGGCTGGGGAGGAGGTGGGGGCACTACAGACCCAGGAGCCCCGGCCGCATGGGCCACCATGGGAAAGGGGAGGGTGACGAGCGTGTGCCGAGTGCGCTGGCGTTTTATTATAAATGAACATTTTAACCAGGCAGCTATTCACAAAGCTCAAACTTCCAGTGACAAGAGCACACGGCAAACTGTCCTTCCGCGCCAGGGCAGCCAAAGTCATCAATGTGATCAGGAATCTGTCGTGCTTTTTGCCTGCATCTTCCCATTTAATTCTCTCCACACATTTCGAAGGGAAAAAGTCCTCTCCTCATTTCACAGAGAAGGAAAGTGAGACACACACACACACACACACACACACAGAGCGCGGGTGAGAGGGGAAGGAGCTCTCCTAAGATGACAGCTGTCGAGTGGCAGGGCTGGGAAGGAACCTGGGTGGAGGGACTCTGGGACCCCGGAGTCTTCTCTGGGCCACATCTCTCAAGTCATTGGTGGCACCGGACACTGTCCAGGAAGCTGGGAACCCCTTCCTCTGAGGACGGTAATCGGCCAGCACTCCTGTCTCCCCCAGGAACCGAGGGCAGCCAGCACCTGTCACAGCCGCCCGCCCACAGCACCCTGCATCTCAGCCTCCAACGGGGACCAGCAGTCCGTTCTGAGCACGGCCAAGCAGTGAAGCGCGTTCCCCGAGGACTGGGGACCGCAGGAACAGCGCCCGTTCCTAAGCCGCGCACTGGGACCGGCCCCTGCCCTGCTCTTGTCTGGGACACAGGCAGCTGGAGGCCACGAGACCCACATCCCAGAGCCTCACCGTAGCTGAAAGGCCTGCAGGAGGCTCTCGAAGGGCCGGGCTGGGAGGCGGAACGCTGCTTTATGCCACCAAAAGCCCCGCCTCTGTAAATGTCTGCTTTTTAATAACTGACACCCCTGGACTGCTGAGTGGCAGGTGACACACTTGTGCCAGCCGCACCTCACTACTCCTCCCAGAAGGAAAAGAAGAGAGATCTATGCAAACTGCCTGCTGTCCCCTGAAACCCAGGCTGGCCGGGGGAAAGCCAGGAGATAGCGGGGAGACCAGAATTCCACAAGCCCCGGCCAGGGGTCTCATCTGAGGCTCCCAGGAGTGTCCCTGCAGGTGCACCTGCTGCACAGGATGCTGATCTAAAGCTCTGACCAAGGTGGGGACGCCCAGGAAACGCAGGCTCCCCTACAGGGAGAAGCCGCCTCCGCAGGGCTCCATTTCTCAGCCTCTCTTACTAAAAGGAGGCGATGTGGGCAGGCACAGAGGTTAAAATTGATCAGATTTGTGAGCTGGAAGACCACGCCCCTGTCTGATCCCATGCCCCTACCTGACCACACCTGTGCGCCCACCTGCCAATCAGCCTAGTTAACCACTCCCCTTTGGACATGGATTAAAAGCCTGGAGCACTGTGGGCCCAGCCCCTTCTTTTTCCTCCCTACCCTGGATCCCCTTGCTGCCCTGCGCCTGCGCCTGCGGGCGCGTGGCCTGCGAGCCACGGCTCCGTGCTTTCCAGCTGCACGCTCCTCGTGGCTGGCTTTGGCCTGCTCTCTACTCAGTATGAATCCAGATTTCCCTTTCTCTCTTAGATAGAGCCCCCACTCTCCTATGCACTTCTCTCACTAAATAAACAGCTTAAAAACCTACCATGCTGCCTGGTTTGTTTGTGCCAGTATTCAGAAATCCCTGAATGCGTGACAAGAGCCCACACAGCTTATTAATGTGTAAATACTAATGGGTGAATCGGTCTCAGAGGGGCTCTCTGCAGTATCTCCAAGGTCCAGAGAACCTACGGGTCTTTCTCTTGATAGCAAGAGATGTCCGGGGCTGGTGCTGTGGCACAACGGATAAAGCCACACCTGCAATGCTGGCATCCCATATGGGCGCCAGTTCAAGTTCTGGCTGCTCTACTTCCAATCCAGCTCTCTGCTATGGCCTGGGAAGGCAGTAGAAGTTGGCCCAAGTCCTTGGGCCCCTGCACCCGCATGGGAAACTCAGAAGAAGCTCCTGGATCCTGGCTTTGGATTGGCACAGCTCTGGCCGTTGTGGTCAATTGGGGAGTGAACCAGCAGATGGAAGACGTCTCTCTCTCTATGTAACTCTCTCAAATAAATAAATAAATCTTTTAAAAGAGAGAGAGAGAGAGAGAGAGAGAGAGAGAGAAATGTCCACAGAGGCTCAACTCTAAACCCAGCAAAGAGACAATAACAATGGTAACAGCAGCACCAAGGACCACGCGGTGTCGACAACGAGCCAGCACCGTCCGGCGTGCTTCGCACACACCCCCTCCCTTCATTCTCGAACAGCCCTAGGAAGTAAGCGCCATCGCCCCCAGTCTCATCTTTCACAGGAGGAAACCGAGGCACGGAGAGATTCAGCAACTCGCTCCATATCGTCTACCCACGTGGACAGAACCGAAGCCCGGGCGACCCGTGCGGCTCCGCACGGCTGCCCTGACAGCACCTCGGCTGCGTGTCAGCTGTCAGTCACCTGGGAGCTCGCCTGGCCAAAGCAGCTGCATTTCAGCAAGACCCTCGCTGAGTCCCGTGCACAGGGAAATTTCTCTAGTGAACTTGCAGACGGCCTGGCTCCTGCCCCCTCCTCAGCCCTCTGGAAAACCTCTGCTCCTTGCACCCTCCCACCAGAGTCAAGCCTCCAGGCGGGAGAGAACGACTGACCCTGACCGGCCCAGCCAGGTGATGGCTTTGCATAGCACCCCAGCAGCGGGCAGGCGGCGCACTCCTGCACTGCAGAGAGGGCTCACTCATTCCCTCCCGCGCTCCCTTGGGGCCCGCCTCCCCTGCACGTGGTCCGTCTCTCTGCCCTCCAATGAGTGCCGGCCGGGGCATTGGCGCTGGCAGTGTTGGAGGCTGGCCCCTCGCCCTCGGCAGCTCCGGGCTGAGCTCACATGGCCGAGGTTCCGAGCACACGGTCCTGAGCGAGCCGTTAAAGCTCTCTCTTTGAATTAGACAACATGTGCAAGTGAATCACATTACATAAGCACTTTGCAGCCGGAGGCGCCCAGAGCTGGAGAGGACCAAAATGGGATTTCCAAAAATACAGAGAGGATGCTGTAATTCAGAGTCCACGAGGCTGGCCCTTTAGAATAAAACGGGCAGGGACTTCGGTTAAGGACTTGTGTTGTGAGGGAAGGCTGGTCAGCCTTGGAAAAGGTGTTGTTTGTTGTGCACGGGGGCAGGGAGATGATAGTGAACCCTTCTTTGGATCCACAGTGCCCTTGACCAAGTTTCTCTGCCTCGAGCCAAGGTCAGCTAACCAGGCTGATGATGTCACCAGCCAGCACGGGCTGACTGCGCAGCATATTAATAGAAATTAATTTTCTTCTGATTACGAGAGCCTAAGCCCCGTGGAAAAGGATAACCTCAACTCAATCCACACAGGGATCAAATTCTACGCGATAAAAGTGTATTTGCTTTCTCCTAATCTGGGAGAAAGATGAAGAGGGTTTCCATCCTTCTAAGCAAATGGAAACATTCCTTGGGCAGCAGTGGAAAAGCCCCTGGGCCGTGCACCGGGGGAGGGGGGCGTGGGGAAACTCCATCTCCCCACCAGCAGACTCCAGCTCTCAACCCCCCACTCACCAAGTTCCCCGGGCGGACCACCCACAAGCACCACCCACAGCCCTTCAGCCACTGGGCAAGAGGCCATGCTGGTGCTGGCCAGGCACCCTGCAGAGAGCCCCAGCCTAGTGCATTACGACTGAGAACAAATGTTCTCTTTCTCCCGACTCCCTCTGTCCCTGAAGGGTCTGAAAGAGGCGTAGCGCCTGAGACAAGGACAAAACGATCTACAGGAAGTGTGAAAATCCTTGCCAATACCTATCGAAATGGCCACAGGGAGAGGAAGGGTGTGAGAAACTCCAAGGGCCTATTTTAAGTAACTCCTATTTTAAAACCTAGAAGCTGCACACATGTGCCCTTGGTTCTGCTTCTCCCTATAGAGCCTCCTTCCAGACGCAGCCAACCTGGGGAAGGTGCGGCTGGGGAGGATGACCAAGGGTATACCAGTTGGTGCTTGAGAACAACACATTCCGGAGGCAACCCAGAAACGTCCCAGTATCACCAGGGCAAGGAGTGTGCTAGCTTTCTCCTGTGCCAACCAACAGATGTGTTTCTTGGTTGCCTTTTCTCTGTCCTCGTCTGCTCTGACAAAGTGCCATTCCTAGGAGGCACACGTGGCACGGCGGGTTAAGCCGCCGCCTGGGCTGCCCACATCCCAAGTAGCCAGTGCCGGGTTGAGTCCTGGCCGCTACCTGATTTCAATCCATCTTTCTGCTGATGCATCCTGGGAGGCAGCAGGTGCTGGCCCAAGTGCTTGGACTCCTGTTGCCAACATGGAGACCCAGATGCTGTTCCTGGCTCCCTGCTCTGGCCTGGTTCAAACCCAGCTGACACAGGCGCGGGGGAGGGGGACAGTGAACCAGTGAGTGGAAGATTTCTCTCAAGTCTGCTTATCATATAAATAAATACAAATCTGAGCAAAAAGAAAGTGCCATTCATAGCTATTTTCATCTGCCTCCCTCTGCAGATGAAGGCTGTACGTGAGTCAGCGTAGGATGTGTAGGAGCGTAACAGAGCTCACAGGTTTGGATGCCCCCACCCTTCCCGGAGATGCCTCTCAGCGGCACAATGCCAGGATCCAGGAAGCCCACAGGAAGATTACCGCCCCGGAGCTTGCCAGAGGCGCAGAGGCACAGCGGGCCGGCACAAGTCCCCCCACCTCCAGCCACCCAGCCACGTGCAGGAGACAGCCTGCAGGCGGGGTGGAAGGCGCCCAGCAGCAGCTATCAGATTCGATCTGTTTGGTGGTATTTCACCTCTTTCTTGCGGAATGCGAATGCAAACACTAATTAGACTTCCTGCCACGGGGCACTGCCACACGGCACTGCCAGGCCGCATCCCAGGTGGCCACTCTGGTCTGCTGTTCTCTAGCTCGGGGTTTCTCAAGCTTTACTGAGAGCTTACAAGACCCTAATGCCCAAACCATAGGCCCAGGCCAGTCCCATCAGAATCGGGCAGGGGGCAGGGGGCTCCAGGCAGCATTTAAAGATCCTTATGAGATTCGACTGTGCAGCCAAGATGGAGAACTGCGGCTCTGGTCTGCCCCTCCCCGCGCCCCTATTTCATTTTTCTTACGGAAGTAGTTCTACCAAACGGGTTATTTCCATGTCCTCAACTAAAACGCGGCCCCGGGAATCCTGCGGCACTGCCATGCATCAGCTTAGTCCCCGCTGCACCCCGGCAGCACCCAGAGCAGCACCTGGAACCTACTAAGCACTCACTAAATAATCCCTCTCGGAATAGCTACATCCCTGTGTGGCCTCTGACTTCCGGATGTCACTCAGGCACCTGAGCTGCCACCCTCCTTTGCCCCCGCACTCCCTTGAGAGCACAGTTACAAAAGGGTGACCTACAAAAATCCATAAACACCTCGTTTCTAGCAGATGCAGTTTAATCAGCAACCGTGTTTTTGTTGTTGATTTTTACTTCCCCAATGCTACAAAGGAGTAAGCAGGCCTAAGCCATGTCTCTCCCTCCCCCTCCAAAAAATTCCATAAAAGAAACTCCTTTATGACAAGGTAACAAGTGGCTCCTATTCTATTTACTCTGCTCTGGTTGGCACACTGCCACGGGGAGGACAAAGTCTGAGGCTTGATTTAATGTCCACACTGGAGACGGTCATTTGAGGATGTTTGTCAAAGCTGGCCTCCTATCTATAGAAAGTGGAGCAGAGCTGGAGCAATAGTGCAGCTGAAAACAGTGTGGGCAGGCTCTCCCACGACTATCTTTAGTTGTTCCTGCTACACACCGGGCAGGGGGGAGCATTTAATAGACCGACTGCCACGAGCGCTCTCTCCTCGCAGGGCACACACCTTGGAGAGGAAAGAATGGTGTGCCGAGAGCCATGGTCTCCTGGGAACAACTCAGCCCATCTGGGCAGTGTGGCCACAAGCAAACATCCCTCAGATCAATGCAAATAAACCAAGCACCTGCCCCTGGTGTCTGAGGGTGATGGGTATGTGGGTATCAAACTCCTTGGTTCTGAACACAGCTTACAGCCAAAAAAATAACCCCCCGGGGCTGCAGGGGGTGAAGCTGCCCCTTGGGTTCCCCACATCCCACGTCGGGGTAGGGAACGAGCAACCCGCGGGCCAGATAAGGCCCCTGAAATCATTTGGTCTGGCCCTGCCAAAGCAACCACAGATGGGACTTGAAATTCAATAAACCCATAGCAGGCTCATTTTACAGTTGATCATTTTGTTGGCTCACAAATGATGTTCTAAATATCCAAACGGCCTTTGGCAGAAAAAAAGCTCGCGACCCCACTGCTGGTTCCAGCCCTGGGGGCTCTGCTTCTGATCCAGCTCCCTGCTGATGCACCTGGGGAGGCAGCAGAGGGGGGCTCAGGCACTTGGCCCCTGCTGTAGATACACGGGAGACCAGGATAGAGTTCCGGGCTTCCGACTTCATCATGGCACGTCCCCAGCTGTTGCAACCACTTGGGGAGTCAACCAACGGATGGAAGACCTCTCTCTCTCTTGCCCTGCCTTTCAAATGAGTAAATATATAATATATATATTTTTAATTAAAGAAAAAATACTCCAACTATCGACTTGTTAACCCTTCCCAGGATCCTGTCAGCCCCGCCTCCTGGAATAGATGGAGAACTCCGACACTGTGGCATCCCGGGTCCCTATGCGGAACGGGGCACATCAGTCCATGAGAGAGCCGTCTACAGTGGCTCGCAGGTCCTTCTAACTCAACCAGGAGGAGGGGGAGGTGCTGTCTTGGGTTCCTGTCTAATTTTGCCAGCGAGGTCATGGCCGCTGAGAGGGCTCCCCAACACGGCTACGAACTGCTCTGGGGCTCTCGGGACACGGAGTCTCCCCACAGAGGCCCTCGGGGTCCTCAGCCAGGACTCGCGGGAGGAGACCTTATCAATTCTAATCCAGGGTCTCCAGACACCTCCAGAGGCTGGGCAGTGTGGGTGGAGGGAAGCCAGGGTGGCCGAGAGGGCGGATTCCAACAGTTTAGGACCCGCAAAGGCGAGTGTTAGAGACCCGCTGGGCTCCCTGCACGGGCATTCCCTACACCCGGAGACCTCGTCCTGCCGCGCCCGGCAACACCTGGGCAGGTCAACTTTGCGCCGTCAGGGTTCAAGCGCCTGCTCCGTGCCGTGGGGGTCCTGGGGTGCGGGGGTCCGGCGCTCGGAGGGAGGTGCGGCCCTGACCCACCGCGCGCACCAGCACGCTGACCACGTTCCCTGGCCCCGGCTTCCCGCCTCCGGGGAGCCTGCGCCGCGCCCCTGCCCCAGCTGCCGCGGGCCGGGGGCGCTCGGCTGCGTCCTAACCGCTCGGGGTCTCCTCACCTCCATCGGTTGATCCCCACGGAGGAGGAGGCCGCGAACCAGGGGTCGAGGATGTACACGCAGCGCACGCAGCGCGCCCCGCGCACGGCCGCCAGCAGCGCCGGGTTGTCGTGGAGCCGCAGCCCTTTGCGGAACCAGTGTACCGAGGAGGCGCCATTCGCGCTGGCCGCCGGCGCGGGGACCGCCGCCGCCGCAGGACCCACTGCCGCCGCCGCCGCCATCACAGCTCAGACTGCCGGAGCCACCGCCGCTCCGCCCCCGGCGGCGCCGCGAGCCCCGCCCACAGCCCGCCCTCTGACCTATGACGAAACCGCTGTTTGCTATGGCCCCGCCCCACAGTGGACCGCGGAGCGCCTCCGTCATTGGCTGGGCGCCTCCAGCCCGGCGATTGGCCCGGCAGCGCCGGATCCGGCCCCGCCCCCTCACGTTCCCGCCATGTGTCGTCCCCGCCCGCTAAGAGCCGGCCGGCTGGGCGAGTGACGCAGGCTGGCTGAGGCCTGGGGCGTGGCCTCAGGCTGGAGGGACTGCGGGTTCCCTTACGCGGGTCCTGTTCAGGGCCGCCTCTGGAAACAGCTGCTGGAGCTGGCGGAGGGTGCCGAGATACCAGACAGCGCCTTGCAGGACTGACAGCCTGCCTGCCTTGTCACCATCGGCATCGTCGCCACCCGGGTCGTGGGAATACGGCTGGCACCCGCTGAGTGCGGAGCATAGACTGTCTCATTTGCTGCTCTCAAGTCTGCCCTGCCACTCCATAAACCTATGGAACAGCGCTGTTGTCCCCATTTTGTCTTTAAAGGTCTGTTTATTTACTTGAAGGCACCTAGGGTGTCTCCCATCCAGCGAGTCACTCGCCAAATGAGCGCAATGGCCAGGGCTGGGCCAATCTGAAGCCAGGAGCCGGAAACTCCGTCCTGGTCTCCCCACTGGGTTACAAAGCCCAAGCACTTGGGCCATCTTCCACTGCTTTCCCAGGCACCTTAGCAGGGAGCTGGTTCCGAAGTGGAGCAGCTGGGACTCCAACCAGTGTACAGCACGGGCCCTCAGTCCCATTTTAAAGATTAGGAAAGCAGAGGCGTTGCAGGTTGAATGACTTGCTTAGTATCATAAAGCTAATAAGAGGATCCCACCCAGATGATTCTGATCTCAAAGCATCTGCTCTTAACCCACGGAGCTATACTGCTGTCTGTGCCGAAATCCTTGGCATTTGCAAGTGGCAGGGTGCAACATGGGGAGAGTGCCCAGCCGTGCAGCAGTGTGAGGACTGGAGGCCGTGGGCTCAGATAGTAATGAGGCTGCCGGACAAATCTGTCTGACCACCGGGTCTGCTCAGGATAGCAGCGCTGTCCTGGGTCCCTGTGTAGCAGCGACAAAGTGTTGATGGTGGGCCAAGACGGCCCGGGCAGGCGGTAGCTCTGGGGTCAGGAGGCAGAGGACGGTCAGTTTCAGCTTGGCTGCAGGCTGAGCCCATGCTTGGAATGTTTCCTGAACTTGAGAATGAGCAACTGAGCCCAGGCTTGGAGCCTTTCCTGGACTTGAGAATGAGCTACGCAAGAATTTAACAGCTTGGTTGCATTGATTGGCACCACCCAATGACACCACTGCTGTCCCTGCAGTCCTAGGCTCTCTCTCACTTCCAGGGCTTTGCACAAGCTGTCCCCGCAGCCTAGCTCACACGCCCTGTCCCTCCCCACTTCTTAACTTCCGTTTGCCCTGTGTCACTGGCTCTGTACAGATGTCACCTTCTTGCGATGTGTCCCATCTCAGTCTGTGCCACTTTCCATCACCGGCCATTAGCGCATGGGTCTGGGATTTCTTGCTTCCTTGTCTGTCTGTCCCATTAGACTATAAACTCCCGGAGGGTAGGAGCCCTGGTTTACTGGCAGTCCTAGTTCCAAAGTCCAGCACTGTGCTTGGCGCTTAACGCTCACAGAGTGTTTGAGTAAAAATTGAACAGGTCCCGCAGTCTCAGCTTGGCAGGGACCTTCAAGGTCTAACCCTGGCCCGGTCCTGGCCCCGTCCTGACTTTGAACCCCCTCTCCGCCTGCTTCCTGAGTAGATACTGCCCCTCAGGAGTTTCCCATGAAGCTCTGTGTGTCTGCCTCTCCTGCCTCCCCTTCTCTCCACAGGCCTGGTGCTCTGCTAAGGACAAACAGGGCCTGTGGGCACCTGGTTCTAGAGTTACAGAGAGGCAGAGAGAGAGAGAGAGAGGCCTTCCATCTTCTGATTCACTCCCCAAATGGCCGCAATGGTTGGGTAGGGCCAGGTCAAAGCCAGGAGCCAGGGGCTTCTTCTGGGTCTCCCACGTGGGTGATCCTCTGCTGCTTTCCCAGGTGCATTAGCAGGGAGCTGGGTGGGAAGTGGAGCAGCTGGGACTCAAACTTGCGCCTCTATGGGCTGCTGGTGTCACAGGTGGCAACTTTACCAACTACACCACAACACCCACCCCTGTTCTCCACTTTCTTAGTCTGTGTGATAGGGAGGGTAGCAGTACCTGCGCCAGAGGAAGTGTCCTTATACACAGTTGTCAGTGGCTGTTCTGAACAGCAGGATGTGTGTCTGATTTTGTATTCCTTGCAATACCAAGTCTGGATCTTACACGCTCAATAATTTGCTAAGTGAATAAAATATTTTGCTTATTTTTAAATAAAAAGGAAGAATTGGGACCTGCACTGTGGCGTAGCAGGTAAAGCTGACACCTGCAGTGCCGGCATCCTGGCTGCTCCTCTTCCGATCCAGCTCTCTGCTCTGGCCTGGGAAAGCAGTAGAAGATGGCTCAAGTCCTTGGGCCCCTGCACCCACATGGGAGACCAGGAAGAAGCTTCTGGCTCCTGGCTTCAGATGGGTGCAGTTCCTGCCATTGAGGCCAATTGGGGAGTGAACCAGCAGATGGAAGACCTCTCTCTCTGCCTCTCCTTCTCTCTCTGTGTAACTCTGACTTTCAAATAAATAAATAAATCTTTAAAAAAATAAAAAGGAAGACCGATGGCCCCAATCCTAACCAATTATTGCCTATCTCCACGTTGCCCTCTCCGCTTTCTCCACACACATCGGGTTTTGGAGTTGTCGTGGGGCACAGGTGTAGAGTGGCCTTACCTCTTGTTTTGCAGCACCGTGTCTGTTTTGCTGAGTCACTGTGTTTGTTATTTGTGGTTTGTGCTATCTTCAAATTGCTGCAGATGAATTGTTTTATTGAGGAACTTCACACTGTTTGGTGATGTCAACAAGGCAACCTTGGAGAATCAGGACGGAATCTAGCACTGGGTAGAGTCCTGGAGCGCAAAGTCCGCTTTCGCTTTTACACTTGAAAACAAGCAGAGAGGCCCTGGCACGTGGCGCAGCACTCAGGACTCTGCCTGGGCTGCCCACTGCTCTTATGGGACTTCTGAGTGCCGGCTCCAGTTCCAGCGTCCTGCAGGTGCACCCTGGGAGGCAGCAGATGATGGCCCCAGCACTGGAATGCCTGCCACCCACATGGGACACCACATGCAGTTCCTGGCTCCTGGCTTCGACCTGGCCCGATCCAGGCTGTTGTGCACATTTGGGTCATTTGGGGAGTGAACCAGCAGATGGATAGAAGATGTCTTTTTTTTTTTTTTAAGATGTATTTATTTATTTGAAAGGCAGAGTTACAAGAAAGAGAGAAGGAGGAAGAGACACACAGAGAGATCTTCCATCTGCTGGTTCACTCCCCATATGGCCAAAAGGGCATGAGCTGGGCTGATCTGAAGCCAGGAGTCAGGAGCTTCTTCCAGGTCTCCCACGTAGGTGCAGGGGCCCAAGCACTGGGGCCATCTTCCACTGCCTTAAACTAGGCGCATTAGCAGGGAGCTGGATGGGAAGTGGAGCAGCTGGGCTCGAACGGGAGTCTGTATGCCAGTGCAACAAGCGGCTAAGCTCTGGATAGAAGATTCTTCTCTCTCTCTCTCTCTGCCTTTAAAATAATTTGTAAAGGGTCATAGGGAAATTGGAGAGAACAAAGGCACTCGCAAATTGCTAAGAAGGCGAACGGTAACTGGGTATTATCTCTCGGTGAGAAATGAGAGCTGACGACTCGGTAACTGTGCACCTCGTTATATAAAAGCACCTGTGAATAGAGGTTACCACGAGGATTGCAAAGGGCTGTTCCTCTTTTCGGCTACAGGTGGCACAAAAGCACCTGTCGCAAACTGGCAGAGGAAGGTTTGAAGGTGTTACAGATCTGCCAGGTGGCGCTGCATGGCTTTTCTTCCCAAAGATACTCAGGAGACACATCAGTCCCGTTCTGTCTCCTTTTGTTAGGGTTCCCCCGGGGAGACTGGATTGGACACCTTTCTCCATGAGCTTCCAGCCGCACTTTGTGTAAATATTTGATGACTGGGTGAAAGGTGAGCGGCGCGGAGGGAGGGCGGCCCGGCGAGGGGAGGTCGCGCGCCCTCTAGTGGCGGGACCGGGAGGGCGCCGCCCGGCCCGGGGCTCTGCGGACCGTAGCGGCGGCCTCCGGGGCCAGGACCAGCGCTGCGCAGCCGCCCGGATTCCCCAGCCGCCTGCGTGGATGCGGGGACGGAAACGCTGGCCAGACTCCCTGAGTTCCCTTTCTGCCTCTGCCGTCCGCTGGCAAGATGGCTTCCGTGGACAGTCGACTTCCTGTCCGTGCCTCCGTGTCCTCATTTGTGGAACTGGAGCAAGAAAGCATAGAGGCGTTGGTCAGAATCCAGACGGACCCACGCGACTTTGGACATCAGCTCTGGCTTGGGGGCACACGGAGATGCCTTGAACAGGCACATTACATCTGAGAACTTCTGCTTATCAAGATAATATTATCAAGAGAGGAAAAGGGGCCGGCGTTGTGGCGCAGCGGGTGGTCAGTGGTCACTGCCTGTGATGCCCATATGAGCACCAGTCCCACTGCCCCACTTCCCATGCAGCTCCCTGCTCATGCACCTGGGGGAGCAGCGGAGGATGGCCCGAGTGCTTGGGCCCCTGCACCCGTGCGGGAGACCCGGATGGAATTCCAGGCTCCTGGCTTTGGCCATGCCTAGCCCTGGCCATTGCAGCCATTTGGGAAGTGAACCAGCAGATGGAAGATCTTCACAGTTAAGTCTTTTTTCCCCCGAGATTTATTTATTTATTTGAAATGTAGAGACACACAGAGAGAAGAAGACACAGAAAGAGAGAGATTGGAAGAGATCAGCTGGCTCACTCCGCAAAGGGCCATAATGGCTGGAGCTGGACCAGGCTGAAGCAGGAGCCAGGAGCTTCTTTCCAGGTCTCC